GCTCGAAGTTTCAAAAGCCAAAAACTCCACTAAGAAAATAATTTCAGATGATTTGGTGAACAATTTAGTAGAAGTCGGTACTGGCGAAGGTAAATCAGTTGTACTAGCAATAACAGCTTGTGTTTTTGCACTTACTGGAGTAGACGTGAATTGTTCGTGTTATAGTGAAGTTTTAAGTTGACGAGATAAAAATGATTTTGTTTCTGTTTTTCAAACACTTGGAATAGAAGATCGTATCGAATATGGTACCTTTAATAAACTCTGTGAACAACTGTTAAATAAACAATGTAATGTTCGAGAAAAGGTGCGTCATATGATCGTTGCTAATCAGAGTTCTTTAACTGCAGCTGATACGTCAGCACGTTTAAGACCAAAGGTATTATTGATCGATGAAGTTGATGTTTTTCTAAGCGATAAATATTATGGTGGCACTTACATACCATCTGTTCATCTGAAACATCCTTATATAAAAGCATTGCTAGATTCCATATGGAAAACTAAGACATTAAGGTCTTTAACTAATGTAAAAGCTCTACCAGCATATAAAACTTGTGCCACTCAATACAGTAATTGGATTTTTCTTTTTGATGAAGCTATAAAAGATATGTTGACTGCTTTACAATCATCGACTTACATTGTTCAAAATGATAGAATTGTCTATGTTGAAGGTGAATCTATAGTAGATAACGTAGTTCGTGGGTCTGATACAATATGGGCATATTATCATGAAAATGAAAAAGGTACTATTAGTCAAGCTAGTTTAGAAGAAAATGTTGGCATTCTTATTAATTGTGGAACATTTTCATATGCTGAAATGCCTCATGATTTTTCATATATTGGGGGTGTGACAGGTACTTTAAAAACACTTGCCAATATAGAAAAAAAAATTTTAGAAAAAGTATATGAAATAAGCAAAAGAACGTTTATACCATCAGTATTTGGGAGTAGCAATCGTACATATAATTCAATGACTGATGTTCGTGTAGTAAACGAGGAAGAATATTTTATGTATATTGGCGGAGAAATCAGTACGATGTGTAATGCAAACCGTGCAATTCTTGTATTTTTTGAATCAGAAGAAAAACTAATGGCATTTTATAATTCTAAGGAATTATCTCCTATAAAACAAGATGCACAAATTATAATGGAAAAGGTATCTGTAAAAGAGAGAGAACTATGCGTTAAACGTGCAGCAACAATTGGTAAAGTAACACTATTAACTCGAACATTTGGACGAGGAACTGACTTTATATGTCGTAATCAACAATTATTAGCGAATGGTGGTATTCATGTACTTCAAACATTTTTTTCGGAAGAAATATCTGAAGACTATCAAATTATGGGAAGAGGAGCACGACAAGGAGATCAAGGGTCTTTCAGAATGATTTTATTAGATAAAGATTTAGAATGGGTACTTGGTGCTTCTTGGAAAGTAGATCTTTCGAAAATAATAGGCACCACTCTTTATACAAATTTGGATAAGAATCGTAGCATTCGTTATGAGAGTAAATGCGGTGCAAAAGAACTTGGCATCGAGCTATGTAAGGCTGAACACAAAGCGTCTAAAGAGTTTATGCAAGCATTAGCTACAGGAAATATCACAGCGGTGAAAATATTTAAAAAAAAACAAAATCAAGGAGCAAACTTAATTGCAACTCCTTCACGTACAGTTTCACTTATGGATGCTACAGGTTCTATGCCAAGTTTACTATCTGCTGCCAAAGAAACAGTTTGTACGATGTTTGAACGAGCTTCAGCGATTCTAACAGAAAAAAGTTTACCGAATGATACATTTCAGATGCAATTTGTAGTCTATAGAGACTACGATTGTAAAGAAAAGGAGCTTCTTCAGAGTTCTTGTTGGGAAACTAAACCTAATAATTTAAGAAATTTTATGACACATATTTCTGCCAAGGGTGGTGGTGATTATGAAGAAGCGATAGAAATAGGACTTTGGTATGCAGTTCAGCAAAATAAACAATCAGATAGAATATCCCAAGTCATTTTAATAGGAGATGCACCCGCCAAAGATAGACCAGCAATAAAAAGAGATATAGACAATTGTATGGCGGTGAAGCATATTGGAGTAAAACGAAATATAAAATGCCAACTCATTACACAGATGAACTGAAGAAGCTCAAAGCTGAAAGTATTTCTGTGCACGCATTCTATCTTAATATTGGTGCAAAAGAGAATTTTCAAAAAATTGCAAGCGAGACATCAGGACGCTGTGAACAATTGAATATGAATTCCCCTATTGGTGCTGAATCATTGACTAATTTTGTCACTGAAGAAGTTCTGAGAAAAACGGCCGGTAATCAAGGAAATGCTGCAGTAGAACTGTATAGAGCAAAGTATCCGAAAAGTTTTACATCCTAATAGTGATTAATAAAAAAAGCATTCATCTATTTTTACACTTGAAAATTTCTCATTATCTATAATCTTGAATTAAAAATCAAATTGATAAATATTATATTGTTGTATTTTTATGATAAGCCAAGAGTACCCTAAATGTAGTACCTGATATATGCGAATCGAAAAATACCTCACCAAAATATTCTCTTTCACGATTTACCTTTATTTCTTTTCCCTTTACTATCATTGATTGTATTTACTTCTTTCTTTTTATCTCCTAATTTGTATTCAAATGAATTCTTACTTAATGTTTTTTTTCTGTATTCTAACGTTTTAACGATGAGCTTGCTTTTTTATGTAATCATCAACTTTTTTTTTGGAAATAAACTACATCAATTGAGAAAGTTCTTTTTGATTATTGGGATGGATAATTCATTGCACTGATGTATATGGAACATGTGGCATCGTTCTCGACATAATCTTAACAGAACAAGGTTTGTCTCATGTATCGTGCTGAATTTAATTGAGTCAGGATTTAAATTATGTTAAAGCTGAAGCACCCAAGTCTTAAAATATGCACAGAAAAACGATACAAATACGCATGTGAATCGTGATTTTCAGGTCAACGGCATATACAAGATTTTTGGAGGTGCACAACTTTTCACTAAATGAATTATAGTGATGAAATCCCGTTGCAAAAAAGAAAAGATAAATCTGTAATTGTTCTTTTGCAAAAAAGACTCTTTTTTTCTGCTCGTTTTCTTTTCCAATCATTGAACTCTGGAGATAAAATTTCTTCCGTACTCTGACTAAAAATGTACCAGATCATATTAGGTAACAGTACGGATGACGTCGTGGGTGTGGGTGTATTAGTTTTTGAACAGTCACATTCACACCCCACACCCGAACCAAAAAAGAGCTTCATAGGTGCGTGAAGAATTTTATTATAAAGGAACAGTAAAACTGATACTAACTTCTATATGATCTGACGTGTACATGGGTGGTTTAAAGTCGATATGAGAGTGGCAGACTGCGAAGAATAGCATCTTTTGCCTTTCGATGGGTGTGGGTGTGGGTGTCAACCTCCTAACGAACCCACGCCAAACACCCTTGGGAAATGAGTTATGTTTTTGTCTCTGTCTCGTGCAGTAACCTTGTCTTTTATCTGCAGTGAATGACACGTTTGACTGTGATCATTAAACGTTCTTTCATTCAACTTTCCTGTTCTGTTTATCTCTTTTTACATATGAAAATCATTAGAATTCATCATTATTGATGGAGCGGATGCAAACAAAGACGCAAATCTCGAAAATCAATTCCAATCTTAAATAGTTGTTTTACTTTTTTCTGTATTCTATCGGAATGAGTTATATTCACACTTCGCTCGTTGACCGTAATATTGAGTGTGGGCGTAGATTGAAAAGAAACTTACACCAAGGTCTACACACCCATGCCCACCGGTTCTTTATTATTTTCATCTCTTACATAAAAATTGCACTTCACTATAGCACCGCGCAATGAACCAAGAGACGACTAGTAAGCGAAAAGGACTGACAGAAAAAAGAGAAAGAAAGAACAGACATAGTTCTTTTTATTGATCATCTCTTATACCAATAAAAGTGCACTATATTATGAAGGTATGTGATGAAATAAGACGTGACCATTGAACAGATACGGCTGAAAGAAAAAGAAAGAGAGAAATAATGGACGTTCTTCCACCAGTCAAAGTGGACCAGACCATAACGCTGTAGAACAAAGGAATAGATTTTTCGTCGGATTAGTACTGTGATACATATACCCTAGTTTTTTGGTTATTTAGTATCGCTTAAATCATCACCGTGGTCTAGATATTTTCACATCGGAATTCAATGACATCATCAATATCATTCGACGTGGATCGAAACGAATCAACAACAAATGTGAAAAGAGCCAGAATAGATGAATTTTATGTAAGTTATGCGATCTCTGAGTCTCGAAAATGTGAGATTGAGCGATGATCTGATACTTAGAAAGTCTACTGCAGACTAAGTTCCTCTTTCATGTTTAAAATACTCATTTTCCATTCATTAACTATTTATTTATCGACTCTCTGAAAAATCTCGTATGTAATACTATTAAAGTTTATATCAACCAATCAGGTCGAACACTGTTTTAGTAATCGAATAACCATGAAAATTTATACAAATCGATAAATTATTATGTTAAAAATATTTGAAGTCGCCGAGTTGAAGTACGATTAACATAACTATAATAATATTATTATACGATCTCTCCAGATTGATTTTATTGATGAAACTACTTAATTAGTATTAATCTGATGATATCGATAACTCTGTTTTCACTTCATATTCTTAGATCGGTACATTTCAATCAAAATCGAGATTCGAAGACTTACCAAATGAATTATTGTTCTACATATGTCCCTGTCTACCACTCATTGATTTACAACGTGCCTTCTACAATTTGAATTTACGTCTAAATACAATTTTATATTCAGAAAAATTTAAATTGGATTTTTCAGTGTTATCAATGTTTAAATATGCGTTTGACTATTATTGTTCCAATCAGCAACTATTTGTATCTCAAATCTACAGTTTGAAATTATGTGACGAATATGATCGTGTGACATAGTTCAATCGACATATTGATATGAGTCTTTTCAAGAATTTGAGAGCATTAACTATTTCGCAACCATCCATAGAGAATCTTGGTATGTATTTATATGTATCTGGAGTCTGAACTAACAAATTTGACTTTCTAATTCAGATAAAATATTATCGAAATTGCATTTGTTAACGAACTTGTCTTACTTGAATATTTATGATGCATTGATACAATCCCTTTATATAACAGCAGTATTATTTTCGATTCGTTCATTAAAACGCTTGATTTTTTATTCATTGGATCCTATTCTATTTCATTTTAATGATAATACTATTCATCCATGGACTGAACTTGAATATTTAAAATTGAATAGTTGCTATATGACGAATTTCTTGGAATTGGTCAAATATGTGGGTAAAAATGTTCAACGAATGGCAGTATCTATAGTTTGTAAACGTCGGGAGGATCCAACGCCAATCTATCAAAAAATAATTGATAATCTACTTTATGGTAATGGAGGATGTCTCCAATTGTCCGGTAAGAGAAACTTCGTTTTAGAACAATGTATAATTTACGAATGACCTACTCCTGCCATTGCGAGATACATATTGATTACTAAAAGACTTCCTTCTATGATAAATATCATTCTTTAGTACTTGTAGAAAAAGAGAAGTGTATTTGTATTAAGGAAATGGATGATCTGGCAGAAAAGTGACCTCATTTTGTATTCAATTGAAATATAAACTGTAGCATATGAAGTTATTTGATTTTC